GGTGAAAGCCAGTGAGATAGTACCTGCCTGTCTTCAATAAGGTAGTAAGCCTGACTTTTTTCTCGGCTATGGTGTCATGGGAATAAGTCACTGTCAGTTTGTTTCGTTTTGTTTTTTTTACAGATTAATCAGTGTTTTCAGTGAAACCTTTTCTTTTCAACTTGAGCATTAGGATGGGTTCTAAATCGTTAATGCTACCTACCTGCTGCAGCCACAAGAGGTGGTGCCTCGACATAGCACTGTCCAGTCTCACTTCCCCTCGGAACCTTACAGCACCCCAGGGAGGGGGGAAAGTGGGTGCTGGAAAGAAAGGCTCAGAGAGGCTGAGACAGCCGTCCAAGAGCCAAAACCTTAGTTACCTGGTCAAGTTCAAAATGCAAGGTCATACAGACCCTGCTTCATCGCAGGTGTAGGTGAACATCTATTATTTATTGTTCTCCATTAAGGAATTCTCCTCTCTTTGGTGCGTTGGGTGCTCGGCTCTCTCATTGGGAAGGTACCTTGTACCCCTGCCATGTGCCCTGTCTCGGGCAAGGTAGGTGGCTGCTGGGCTCTGCCCTCACCACGTGCCAGGCCTCCCTCCTCATGTCACCCTGCCTTCATCTTGCGACCCAGCTCACACCTGTCTCAGGGCCTTTGCATGTGCTTTGGCTGTGTGTTGTGGTTTTCCTCCGTGTAGCAGTGTGGCTGGCACCCTCGCTTCATCAGGTGCTGCTCACACGTCACCTGCTCAGAGAGGCCTCCCCAGTGAAACGGCGTCGCTGCCCACCGTCAGCCTCCTTCACCTCACCTTGCATTGGTTTTCCGGCCGGCACTCCCATCACCCTGAGTGTTATGTGCTTGTTTGCTGGATGGTCTCCCCTGCTAGAGAGGAGGCCTCGTGTGCAGGCGGGGCTTCGGTCCGCCTTGCTCATTCTTCACCCGCGGGGCCAAGAACAGTGCCTGTACCTTGTAGCTGCTCAATGAATATGGGTCGACCCGGTGATTTTCGGATCTTTCTTGGTGATGCCTTGGTGACCCCAGGAGAGGGACACCCGACACATCTGCCTCCTCACAGGCACCTTGGAAGGCCCAGTTTCTTTGAAAGCGCGGTGGGGAAGCTAGGTGAAGATCTCACAGTCATGCCCTCAGCACGCTGACGTGGCTGCTGTGGGCTAGACAAGGCGGGGAGGGTCTCTCATTTGTCACTCCTCATCTGAACACAGGGGCCTCTAGTGTCCGACCTGGAGGCTGGGGAGAAGCCCCCACAATTTGTTTCTTCTGCTTCTTCCCCACGAGACCTGGGCTGTGGGCTCTTATGTCCTCTATTAGCATCTGAGCACAACGTTGGTTCTGTCACCCCGTTTCTCCCTCAGGGCCTTTGGCGGGCCTCTCTGTTCCTGAGCACCTGAGTATAAGGGGACAGAGACCCACTTATTTATCTGTGTCATCTTTCTCCCCCATTTACTCCTTCTTTCCTCCTTTGCAGCTTATTTAGACCCCAGTAGAATGGGACAGTGACATGCGTTTCTTAGGTGCGAATAAAGGATTAAGTGAGATAGTGCCAGCAAGGTCTTTGAACAGAGCTCGACGAGTGTAAGGGTTCAAATTTTAGCTAAAAGGAAGAAACCAACAAACCAGACCTCTTTCCAAGAGCGGATTTGAAGCAGCATATTAAAACAGATAAAAAAATAATACAGTGAGGCCAGTTATGGATGAGTTTGGCACAGGT